TGGGAGCCTCGCTCGTCCAGAAAGGCTCGATCCTGAGAGGGGGGCTTCGGCCCCGTTTGGAATCCTTTCAGGGTTGAGGCCTCAGGCCTCCATGGATAAATTCGGCTGCACCTGCCGGCCGCCTCGACCAAAAAGCTTGCACGATGTCTTTCTGTCATCCCGGATGCTGCTTTTTCAGACAACTTGCACTGACACAAGCACGGCCTGGCCTTCAGCTGCAGAGTTCCCTTCGCCGCTGGCCTGGTCGAAAGGCACTCTGAAACTACTTCCTGCTCCTGCTCCTGCTCNNGTTGATGTTGATGTTGTTGTTGTTGTCGTTGTTGTCGTCCTTGTTGTTGTTGCTGCTGCTGTTACTGTTACTGTTACTGTTACTGTTACTGGTACTGGTACTGTTACTGTTACTGTTCTTCTTCTTCTTCTGATTATTGTCCTTGCTTTTCCCTTGTGAACCCTCGCTTTTGTCGGATGCAAAGGCTCTAGTGCTCGCCTCCATTTCGGCGCAAGGCGCCGCAAGCCGGGCTCTCTGGAGACACAAGGGTGTACTCTAGGACCTCTATGGCCTAGAGAGCTGAGCGCCGGGGCTTTTGAGGCGTAAGGGAGTCTACGCAATCGCGCTTCCCACTGCTTCGGGGTTCTCGTTGTTCCGGGCTGAGGGGTTAGGTACGGTTAGGTTCGAAGGAGGCTGCGAGTGCTGCAAAGCCAACGACTTGCCAACGATCGACAGCTGGCCGGAACAGCTATGCCGGAACAGCTATGGATCGCGGCAGTGCCATTTGAGAGAAGGAATTCGTGTCCAAACTTGACTCATGCTGGAATGCTGGGCAGCAGGCACAACCAATAATCAAAGCATCAACAGTCATGCACCGCAAAACGCAACATACTCCGGGAGGCAAGATGACGAGCGTGAAACTGAAGACTCTCCAGGCTTCGAACATCTTCGAACCATCGTATTGCTGAACTTCTGATTTGAGCCTTTCCGGCCGTGCTGGTGCTATGTGCTACTGGTAGCAGCAAAAGACCTCCGCGCAAGAAGCTCTACGTTCATGAATCTTCAGGACTTCTGGGCTCCTGTGGCTGAGACCATCCCTGAACAGGTCTGAAGAATTCTTCGGAATCCTCTGCCATGTTTGAGGGCTTTGGCTTTGACTGCACCTCACAGATGCAAGAAAGACAAGTGACCACACCTCTTGAGACGCTTTGGACTCTCCCTCCAGACTACCGAAGAGGCACCTGGCCCCACATAATCCTGGCAGATCTGACAACTGTGCACAGAATCCGCCCTTTTTACCATGTATCGAATACCAGTTCATCGGTCAAGGGTCGCCCTGTGCACGACGAGAAGCTCTATGGAACAACTACCCGTCGTGAGCACCTGTCGGCGTCCGCATTCAGTTGCAGAACCGACAGGTTTTGGGTTTGGTCTTCCGTTCAAACTCAAAGACTTACTTGTCCGGACGAGGATGCTGCATCTCGAACACTTTCTCTGTAGCTCGGCATAAGCTGTTCAGCAATTGTCAAACAATCTACTCGTCCGACGCAGCCAGCTAGCGCGACCTCCCAAAGATTTGGAAGATCGAAAGGGGAACGCCCAGCCCACACCCAAGCCTTCACGATGGCTCATCACGTGCCCTTACACCATGCATGAACTGGACACGCGATTTCGCGCTATGTTCTGAAGACATTCACGAACCCCAATCACGAGCCACCGTCGCGAGATGCTTCGGTCTCGCCACCCGGGTCCCAAGTCAAAATCCGCTGGCAGTTTCCGGAAGGAATCTGCGCAGGACGTGCCGTAGTGCGTTAATGTGGCTCTCATCCCTTGACCTCAGAGATCTTCTTGAAGAAGCCGAACTGGGCAAGCACAGAGACTGTGGTGACAATGGTGTTGCATGCGATGGCACGTGCTCCCTGAACAAGCCCATCGCTACCTCAACGATGGAC